ACTGTCCCCAGACTGTCCCCAGACTGTCCCCAGACTGTCCCCAGACTGTCCCCTGGGCAAGGAGGGCGTTCTGTGCTGGCATCTCTGGGCTTTTCTCGCTGTCACCCACCTCGGTGTCCACCCTGGGAGGGTGGGGAGGGTGCCCGGAGCAGCAGGGGCTGCCCCTGGATCCCAAGGCCAGGGTGGACAGGGCACAGAACACCCTGGGACAGTGCAAGGTGTCCCTGCCATGGCAGGGGTGGCACTGGATGAGTTTCAAATCCCTTCCAGGGCAGGGCTGGGGGCTGTGATGGGATCTGGGGCTGGCAGGGGGCACTGATGGGGTCTGGGGTCTGGGTTTGGGGCTAGCACAGGCTCTGATGGGGCTGGCATGGGCTCTGGGATTGGCAGGGGGCTCTCATGGGGTCTGGGGTCTGGCTCTGGGGCTGGCAGGGGGCTCTGGGGGCTGGCAGAGGGCTCTGATAGGGTTTGGGATGGCACGGACTCTGGGATTTGGGCTCACACGGGGCTCTGACAGGCTCTGGGTGCTGGCAGGGGGCTCTGGGGCTGGCAGGGGGCTCTGACAGGATTGGGGCTGGCACAGGGATTTGGGCTCACATGGGTCTGATGGGCTCTTGGGGCTGGCAGGATTTGGGCTGACACGGGGCTCTGGCAGGTTCTGGGGGCTGGCAGGGGTCTCTGACAGGTTTTGGGATGGCACAGGCTCTGATGGGCTCTGGGGCTGGCAGGGGGCTCTGACAGGTTTTGGGATGGCACAGGCTCTGATGGGCTCTGGGGCTGGCAGGGGGCTCTGACAGATTTTGGGATGGCACGGGGCTCTGATGGGGCTGGCAGGGGGCTCTGGGATTGGCAGGGGACTCTCATGGGGTCTGGAGTCTGGGTTTGGGGCTGGCAGGGGGCTCTGATAGGGTTTGGGATGGCACGGGCTCTGATGGGATTTGGGGGCTGGCAGGGGGCTCTGACAAGTTCTGAGCGCTGGCAGGGGCTCTGGGTGCTGTCAGGGGGCTCTGGGGCTGGCAGAGGGCTCTGACAGGTTTTGGGATGGCACAGGCTCTGATGGGCTCTCCCTGCAGATCTGGACGAGTGCGCCGAGGGGCTCCACGACTGCGAGTCCCGGGGGATGCTCTGCAAGAACCTCATCGGGACCTTCATGTGCATCTGCCCCCCGGGGATGCAGCGCAGGCCCGACGGAGAGGGGTGCACAGGTACCAGGGCAGGCTGACAGATTTCTCCTGGGGTGGCTTGATAGTTTTCCTAAAAACTGCA